GAATGATGAACGACTGTCCGAGCTTTGATTTATTCCGCCATTGACACACAATGCTTAGCCGTTTGCTGAAAACGTGATTGTCGGCTATTCTCGGCAGTGATTCGACTAATTCCGTCGTCGCGGACGGCCGATGACTCCGGAGGCATGCGCAGGCGCCGGACCTTGAAGTACAAAATTGAAAATTACGAGTACCTCCCAAAATATGCTTTATGTACGGGCTAATGTCAAGAACTACTGCTTCAAAGTAAAACTTTCTTACGCGACTGTAAGTGTATATCTTTAAAAATAAACATAATATATTGTCGTGGACGCTAAAATTTATAATGATGATGAGGAGGTTTGCGTAACAAATTTTGATGCCTAAAATAACTATTCTACGCGGCCATAGCTAGTTGCATGTATATACTTTTTGACGATACATGAAAACAGTGCTTTTAAAGTTTGCAATACTTATGTAAACTTTTCAGTAATATTTTAATTATTAACCATTAAAAGAATTGCTTGTCTTTGAGATTAATAAAATATTAACATGCCCCATTCGTGACATACACCGGACGCCTTTAATGTCCGCCCGTGATTAAACGGTTGTTATTACAGGTAACATCGCTCGTTCATAACGTAATATGACAACTAATGACATAATCAGCAATGTATGAATCGTTATTGCCTTAATTCGTTTGGACGTGAGCATTAGTTTGTAATTATAATGTGTAAAGTCGGGCAATTATTCAGTCTCATCTAAGTGGTGATTAGCACGCGCAATTCTTTCGTAAAGACATAGTTTAGTAATATCAATTGGGCCTGAAAATTAAAAAATAGCATTTTTACTTCCACTCCCGCGCAGAGACGCAGTCTTAGCAGCGTAGCGTCGTATTGCAGAAAGAATTGTGATATTCCTTTAGGTTTCAAAGACTTTGGCTTAAAATATTTTAATTAACTTAATTACTCATTAAAATGTAGTACACTTACGAATCCGAAACTACTTACTACTAAGGGCATAGTTTAAAACGATAACGAGTCGTGGCAATAACCGGAACTAATAGATTATTAAATTAGCTTAAAATGGTTTATTATTAAAAGTTTAAAGGACAAACTAAAAATATACAATGTGATAATGGTTTTAATGTTGCAGAATTTGCAATTGGTAAATAAATTATCCTTGGCATTTATATCAATTTATTTTATTGTGAATTTGAATCAACATGTGTATAATGTATTGACATTACACGTTTTACAGCCAAATACATCTTGGGTGGTATTGCGTTATGAAAATTGATAAACAGTTTGTGGAGATAACTGTTAACTATTGTACTAATAGAGTAAGTGTTAGCTGCTTTCTCTCATCGGAGCTTTGTCTATACTTAAACTCATTAGTAGAGAAGTAAAAAGAAAAACAAAATGTACATATTGAACTTTTGTTTTATTTAAGCTAGCTAATTGATTGGATTAATACTTAACATATTTGGAATAAGCTATGTATACCTTTGTCTATACCACATATAATTAAATAAATGTAAGCCGGTGACCTCTAAGATAATTATTTTTCTCTTCTGAAAATTCAATGAACAAAGACAAAGGGTCTTGCGAAATGTTATCACGACCTATTGTTTTTGATCGTGTTTAGTGCGACAGCAAATTATGTTCTCGCATAATGACAGGAGATAACGTGAAACTTATTTGCGCACGCGCGGGTTTAATTTCATTGTTGGAGACCTATTGTCGAATATACGATTTAAGAAATTAGAAAATAAATTTAATATTTGAACAAAAAAAAATGATCACGTAATAACACAAGACTTATTATTAAATATACATACATAAATATACAAAATAAAGTTAGCATATTAAACAAGAAAGAAAAACATAAAAATATTGTGTGCTGCAAGTTCGTAGAATAGGATCTTACTCAGTTTCTATTAGATCATACCCGTAGGTAAATTCTGGACTTATTGCAAAATTAGTTTTTCTTAAGTTTCCATTAAAAAAGAAATATATAAATATATATTTTTTTTATTTTTAAGTAAAAACCTAAATTATAAAGTACTTTTAACTATGTGCGAATATTATATTATAAGAAAATGTTGTAGGTACTTTAATTTGAATGATGATAATGCAAAAGACATTACTAAAGAACCTCAGAGGCTCTACAGCATAAAGTATGCCCCAGTCCTGGCTGTTGACGCTTTTGAAGGGGCTGATGTCTATATTTTACACACCGTTCTTATTTGCGAAGGCAATTGAGCCATAATAAATCTCTTAACAAAAGAAGCCATAAGTTCTTGAAATGGATAGCTCATTTGAACACGATTCCCAGTGATGAAGACGTGACTCGAGTGAACGATGCACGGTGTACGAATATTTCTCATGGGAAGTTTCTGATAGTGTAACAATATCGATTGGTTCTTATCCACGGTATGTAGGTAATACCGTGGATTTCGCTACGGTAATAATTAACCAATTTAAATCTTTCGCGCCATATTGTTTTAAACGAGTTTTTCTTTAAATTGTGTAGCTTTAGAAGGTATTATATGCTAATGTTAATTAGTACATTTGTACTATAAACCATGGTTTTGACAAGTTATCCAGTAAGGTATTTGATCTACCTAATATAGTTCTCAGCAGCAGTTTGAATCAGCCGTGGTCACGGGGAGACCTCTCTCCAAATGACCACGGCTGCTGCAAAGCATCTGAAACGTCGGGCCGAAATTAAAAATCATTTTCAAATAAGTTTAACTAATATATCGCGTTTTATTTAAAAGTTTACTCAATTTTTTTGAGTAAGAAGAATCTCTTAATTGATTGAGAACGTCTTAAATTGCATCCATGACAATTATCTTGTCGTTCCCACATCTATTTCACACATCTTCGGAATGATAGATGTACCTATGATAACAAAGAACATGCCAACACGGCATCTAACAAAAAATAATCTTACGCAGTCCGATAAACAGGGTTAACAAACTATCAATTCTAACTACCGGGTGTACTACAAGGTTGCCGATTACTCCTTACCTAACTATTATTAAGTATGAAATAACATTATAATGCCGACGAAATTGTTGTTGGATACACAATGGACCGATGAGATGGCTTCGATTTTATCACGATCTCAATCAAATACCAATAAAAACAGGCCAAGTACGAATTTAAGGTTCTCATAAAGGGTTCCGCATTTCCGGTTCTATAAACCAGAAGTTATCGTCAAAACGAATTTTATGCAATTATATATACATATAAAATAAACACTTTAACTGTTTAAAACACGATATATATTAGTTAAACTTATTCGAAAGTTATTTTAACTACGGCCCGACGTTTCGGATGCTTCGCAGTTCAGTGGCCACGGAAAGACTTGATATTATGAGTGGAATCCTATTTGCGTTTTAAGCCGTTAAAGTGTTTTACTCGCGTAAACTGCGACAGTATTTAAGTATATATCTATATATACTTAAATATTGCAATATTTTTCAGTAAATATTTTGAGTCAATGTTGTGTAAATATTATAAGCGGCTTTTCCTCATTTTTTGTTAAAATTCTAACCTTGATGGACCCTAAAAAATGGTAACAACAATGTTTCGGTCAATTTGAAAGGTCGAAAGGGTTCCGTAATAGTAAGGAATGTGGAAGATCACAATCGAATTTTCGAAATGCGTTTGATAATAATGGCTCTGTTGTATGTTTAAACTGTAATCAAAATACTGTTATGGTGCACAGTGGTTTCACAATAGTCATAGAAATAAAAAGACTTTTCTATGCTCCGGTTTGTCTACTCGACGTGCCCGTTTGTATTCAGTGATTTGTATGAATTATTAAACAAACAACATGGCAGGTTTACACAACAGAAATAATATATGAATAATATTTATAATCTATGTTATATTATACATTTTTATATAGATCAGGCATATTGATCCCGCGACATTCGTAGCTCAATTGTTAAACGTTGTTCCGCCTTGTGTTAAACGCGAGCGTTCATGGGTTTAAAATTCTAGGAAACAATAATAATATAATTGATTAATGGTACAGCCACATAAATGTATTCGTTGTTATGCTTATTACAGCTATTCATATTTCATTTAGTAATACTCGATTACAATATCGTGACACGGACGGAATCTCTATATTCCTACCACCCATTTAATATTAAGATTTCCAGGCGAAGTCCAACATGTTTCAGAAAAATTAGAAACATATCGAACCCACGACCCGATGATTATAAGCCATACATTGCTACCATTAGACCAGCGAGCCCGTCAAATGTTATGACAAACGCCATTGCCCCATAATCACTTAGATTAACCTATAATCGAACCGAAAAGTGCCTCCATATTCGATTTGATATTTCTCATTCGCTTAATGATGCCTGCAATGATAGATCTTGATAAATAGTAATTTGATTGGCAAACGTATCGATAATCTGTGGAAGGTAATTTGTGTAAATGCGAAGTTACGTGCCTCTAGATTCCTATCTGGTGAACTGAGTTGAAAATTAGAAGTCACTGGTCTCGTTACGTTGACTGGACGGAGAGGAATGATTTTATCACAATGCCATCGAAACGCTTTGCAAAAAATGAAACGCGTAACCTGTTTACAATACAATATTTCAGAAACTATATGCTTTTGCTGTAATGAGGGATGAATAGATGAAAGAATGTTCTTCTCAAAATATTATTTCTATTTGCATATCAGAGAAAAAACATGTATGTACAATTATATAGGCAAAATCTTGCTATCTAAATAGTTTTGTGCTAGCTGATAACGTTGAATATGAACTTCGATACTGACTGTAGTTTACGCGAGTAATACACATTTAACGGTTAATTTAAACGGTTTAAAACGCGATATATTTTGGTTAAACTTGTATGAGAGTTATTTTTAACTACGGCCCGACGTTTCGGATGTGGATATATAGGAGACATCAAATATTATTTCCGTGATTTTGTCAGTACGAGATAGAGCCAGATTTCGAATTTGTTAGTAATTCTCCGCAATCCACCATATGCAGAATCTTTTATCTGCGCTAGCGCAGTTTAAGAATGATTTAGTACCCGCTGCACCGTTCCGAGTCAGTTTAACTTGTTTTATGTTGACAGAACGCCGATACAATCGTAATGTTATGGTGTCCATTATGAGCCTATATATCGAGGCATTCTATCATACTCTCGACGGTGACGCCCACTTTCTTATCTAAACTGTTATTTATGCTCTGTTTATTGCTGATATAATTCGATAAGGATAGAATTTAAACCGCGTCAGAACTGGGTTGTGCGGATTAGCTGCGGCGGACAGGTAAATGAAACAAATGAATGTTGCTACGAAATAGGCACATTCTAGAATGTAGCACGCAATTGTAATACCTATATATGAGGTTGCTAGAGGCAGAGTAGCCTAACTTTTTTGTGCCTTGAGTTATTTATATTTTCATAGTTTAAACATGCTAAACATTCCCACTTTTACTTTAAATGTTATAACTTTTTTATCAAAATTATTATAGATAGTTGTAAATTTAAATTTGTGACTAGCCTCGTGTTACTATTGTTACTAACGATATTAATAGATCAGATTGGAATATTCATATACATAGTTGGTTTACTTCCTAATCTTTTCAATTACACAAAACAATTACTTGCACGAGATCAATTCTTTAACAAGGCTGAATGCGTGCACGCAAGTAGCACGTTTCGCCCTTTGTGAACTCCTACTATTTAGTTTTTGTCGTTAGAAGTCACTTCTGTTTTGGCGTTACGTTCGATTGGCTTTATATAACGCGCCGTAAAAAAAAAACTTATCGCAAAAGCCATAAAAACTGCAGAATCGACATCCTACTACAGTTTAGTTATCGACAGTTACTGATTTCAAATTACGTAAATTGTCCACAGTGTGGATGGTGGTTCGTGACCCGGACGAGATTTCTATATTTCTACCACTCATTTAATAGCCTGATTAAGTCCAACATGTTTCAGAAAAATTATAAATTGATTAGAAAAATGTTGGACCGGTGGGGATCGAATCCACGATCCGATAATAGCCATACATTGCTACCATTATTATTTTTTATTTGTCTGCCGAATGTCTCACTGTCTTTCTGTCTCTATCATCATCTCTGAGCAAGGGGAAGTTCCGCCAGCAAAAAGTTTAATTGTATTCTCGGCACAATTTTCACGTTATTGATATTACGGTTTAACGGTACCGTGAATCAGTGGAGTGGTATTATCTATTTTAAAAGCGCTTATATTGTCATTTATCACACTCGTTATCTGTGATCTGGCCGCCATTTGCGACAAATATTAAACGGTTTCCGTAATTTGTAATTTATTTAATCAACGAACAGGGTATCGTATCTTTAAAAGCGAAGAACGATTTTAATAAATAATTAATATGTTATACAATATAAAGTTTGCTTAGTACATAATATAGGTAAATTATAACTGAATTTATGCGAGGAATTAGCTTAATTATTTAGGCTTTTGTGTGGATGTCTCATTAACCCACCAATACTATATGGGCACAAAAGGTTAATAATAGTCTCCCCGTGACCACGGCTGCTGCAAAGCATCCGAAACGTCGGGCCGAAGTTAAAAATCATTTTTAAATAAGTTTAACTAATAAAACGCGCTTGAAACCGTTAAAGTGTTTTATTTAAAATAGGTTAATGATAGTTTTAGATATTTTTTTTGTTGGGTTTTTGTTGCACCGGCTATATTGTACGGTCTCAATGAAATAAAACTGTTGTCTGTCCTTGCTGCTGCCCTTTTGCATTTTACTTAGAGTCCAGGCGCTAGTGAATCTAGTATAAAACATGCTTCTTATAACTGTTGACGTTTTTCACGGTGGAAAAAAACCCGCGTAGACTGTAGACATTTACATAGAACGCGTGATACATTATCTCACGATAACGTCCGTCTGTTTCAGGTATTACAACGAGACGTGGAATGCCACGGTCGGATCGTGAGCTCTGTGGTGAGGCTGTGCGGTGGCGCTGATGTTGCGCGTGCGCTAGAGAGGCGCTGGCACCTGCTCTACCTTAGGGCTATCGAGTGGCAGTGCCATCTGGAGGCTTGTCTCGCCAAGACTGATCAGGTGAGGTTCAGTAATAGCTTACAGCTGAACGAAGTATGTTTATTGATCTTCTATCATCTTGGTTTTCTACAGTTTCTAAAAGTGTTGGTTAAGAGGAATTCACAATAAATGTATTTGATATAGGTATGTTTTTGATGCTTGCTTATCCATAATGTCAATCCTAATGAATATTTTCACATGTTATGGCAAATGATTTTTTATAATTAGGCACTCTATAAGTTAAACCGCCTCTGTAGCCAAATGGTTAAACGTATTACCTAGCATTGCGTTACGCGCGAGAGGTCCTGGGTTCGAATCCCAGGGAAACAAACATGTTTCGGTCGGGCAGGGCACAGAAGTCTGATCAACTACTTGCCTGTTAAAGAAAGGATTAGTGAAACGGACACGGAAATGTGTTCGCTAGGGAGAAACGGGATTTCACACACACATTTAAGTTAAAAGTCTATTTTAGATAAATTTTACGACACGGACAGAACTCGAACCGGCACCCACAGAGTTCCGTGCTGTTACTGTATCACGCTATCGTCGATTTTTTTGTTCAAACTATTCTTTCGCCCTTTGAAAGTTGTGGTTCGTTGGTATTTATAATTGAAAAGTTTTCACACGAATCACCATTATTACAATAGCACAATCAACTCCCCGCTGATATTTGCAAACCCCAAATTGTTAACAATGGTCTCTCGGCGGTTAAGTGTACATCATACGTCACGTGTCCTCTAAATAAATCTATGCCTCTGTGTGATTTGTTTTGATGCGGTTGCTAGGAAACTTGACCTAATTCAACACTGTTGAATAGACCACGAAGCATTAAGGGCTTAATATTTATATACGGGGCGTTTAATTTGACGCCAATGGCCCATAACTTTTCTCGAATCTATTTCGGGATTATGGTTAGATAAAATTGTATTTATTGCTCGTTAGATACGTTATGAATATATTAAAGGTTTTATGCGTCCTCTCTTTTATTGGTATAATATACACATGTGTGATGTATATGCCAAGATTGTTTATATACCTATACAAGAAATGTATAGGTATATACAACATTATAATAGTCCAATTATTAGGTATAGCTTCAAAGTTCAATGAATTTATTTATTGTTTTACAGAAATACGAAGCCGTCGAAGCAGCGAGTGACAGCGACGACGAACCAGCTCTGAAGCAACCGCGATTGAGCAGACGTGGCTCGCCGAAGAGACAACGAACACCAGTCAATAATCGCAGACGGGACTACTCAGAGGATAGCAGGCAGTCTGCCTCAGAGGTAAGACAGATAGTAATTATATATAGGAATAAAACATGAAATATGTTAGCTTACTTATTTTAATTACGCTTTAACTTTTGGATGCTTTGCCGTGGTGACAGTGGTGACGAGTTTCACGAATAGATTTCGCAATTTTAAACCGTGTTTCATTTTTATGTGTACACTTGCGTAAGCAAATGAAAAGGAATATCTTTTGTTTGACATTATTTTTTACTTTATTCGAACGAAACACCATCTAATCTTACGAAAAAATATTGATTAATATTAATAAACAGTTTATATAAACCTGTACCAATTAAATTTTAAAGTATTATTCGTTATTTTTCAGGAGGAGCAAGAATATGCAGTTGGGTTGACTTGGCGAAACTTCGGATCTGACTGTGAGTCTGAATCAATGCGTGACAAAATGGCAGACGAGAGGCGAGTCCCCAGCGTGGACGGAGGCGACCCGAAACCCACTGATCAGACGGTGCCTGTTACTGACGAAATTGATGGTAAGACAAAGGACTTATAAGGCAATATAGCTTAACAGATAAACCTTAAAAAACCTAAGTTAAGCGTGACCGTACAAAATATCTGTATGCTTGATCTATGAGCTATTTGCTATTTGAGAACATTTTTGTCAAAGGTCGAAAGGAGCTGGTGTAATCAAATTAATTGTCAGCCTTACTGATACATTTTTTTTCACTATGCATAACTGGTAAATAATATATTTAACGCACACAAAAGAAACCAATACTTGAAGTATTTGCTTTTATGTTGTTATCACAAATGGGCTAAAAAAGAAAGACATAGTATAAATACTATGGGAGGATAAAATATACCAATTATAACAATATAATCACTAAACGATGCAGAACGTTATAATTATTGTTTTGTTCTCATTAGGAATTCAAAGCACTGTTATTATAAGAGAACTCATTGGGACGCATTGTTTACAAACAGTTGAATGAAATGATTCATTGAGTACTATCTTTTACAGGATCGACAATAGACATGCCCAGAGAAATAAAAACCCCTCCAACAGTGATAAAAAGGAAGAAACCAGTAGATACGTCCAGGTTCAATCAATCCGATCGGAAATCCAAGAACTGTGCCACCTTCTACTTCAGACACCACGACACTGATTCCGATAGACAAGTTATAGAGACAGATGAAAAATCTCAGGACGAATCATCAGAAGAGGAATGGACGTATGTTAACGGACCTAAGATAGCTAACGAGGATTCTACGGATATCATGACGTCATCGGTCGAAATACAATGCGAGCTGCCCATAGAAAAGAAAATCAAACCCAAATTGGAATCGAGCACACCAGATTTATTGAAGGTCGATCAAAATACAAGGTGCAATAAGGATATAGAGAGGCTGGTGAATCAAGCCGAGGAGTTGGTGCAAAAGCAAGCGCAACAGATGGCCAAGAAGAAAGGCTCGAGGAATTTCAAGCCATTGATGCTGGAGGAGGAAGGTAAATCGGTTAGTCGGGCTAAAATGTCACGCATCAAGGAGTGGTTGAACCAGAGCACTGATGGAAAGGATGATAGTAATCAGGTTATTATATCAGAAATTATTTTTATATATATTTGAAATATACTTGTTCAATATTGTTTTATTATTAGGTACATAATATTCTATATCAATAGTTTCTTATCTTAATAAAATCTTCAACACAAGTTTCATCATGAAAGCATTAAAATGTTAATTTATATAGGAATGTTACTTATATATGAAATATACACAAACAGTTTATAGTAACGAATTTTTTTATGTCGTACTCTTTTGCAGTAATTTTTAAATCCAATAATTTACAGACTGCAGAGAACTACGACGCATCAGGCGAATACACAACAGAGAGTGAAGTAGATACATCTTTGACATCCGAGGAACGAAACCTGCACTCGTCTATGGACATGAGCACATCCACTTGTACAGTGACACCCACGCACCAGGCTAAGGTCCGCTATCATGTAAATATTGCTGCTATACCACGTTATAAACTGAGTTGTCAAGCCATTACTATGTCTATCTGGTTGGCACTTACGTATCCGCGACCGTTCCTTTCATCTTTATTAACATTTATGGTATCATGACTCAGTTCATAATGTATTTGATATGAATACTAACATGAAAAAAAAGTCATTTTGTAACAATCTGCAACAAGACACTGATTTTATTGTCTCTCTGGTGGTTCCAAAAAACACTAGTACAGTCTGGAAAAGTTTATAAGTTTTATATTGTATAATTATTTACCATAAAATAAAATATATATGAACCAGAGACAACAAGATTTACGTGTAAAAACTAAGTCTATTGTTTTTTGTTTTTTTTTCATTTATCACTCGCACAAGTTTACATCCTCATGGAAACTGTTCGCTTTCTACACCTTGTGCTATACACCTTGTATCTAACATTTACGGTAATATAGGTACAACTTCGCAAAAAGCGGGGCGGCAACAGCGCCCGACCATGGTCGGTGTCCTGTCTGTCGCAGCTAAGCGGCGCAAACGCATCGCTAGCCACGCCCACTAACGACGTCATTTCGCATAACATGTCCATATCCGAGTCAGCGCTCAACACATTGGCTTCACCGCAAAGGGTCACTCCAGCTAATTCCAGCTCTAAGCTCCGCGGGAGTTCCACTACTGTACAGGTATAAAGATGTGGTGGTGGTTCATAATTTGAAAGGAGATTTATTCAACTATATTCTTTACTATATTCATTATTACGTTACTAATCTTCGTCATATCTTCAAGTACATCTGATTTTTTATTAACCAGTCGGACTTATTATTTCAAAATTATTCTATGTTTTGTCATTGCAAACAGGTATTTGCATGAAAAACAAAACGAGGTGGGCATTTGTATTAGTGATAATTATATATTCAGTGACTGCGCTTACACTTCTAAAAATAAAGGCTATATTATATAAGTACTACAGTACGTGAAATTTGTTGTATAATGGACTTCACTTTAATAACAGATGTCTTGCAGGGTCACATATCAAGTACAAACACAATGACGGAAGCATGCACATCTTGCGTGGAAGCGAACGATAAACAGTGTTGGCTACGTCGGAAGCGGTTAAAACTAAGAAGGAATAACAATCCGGTAAGACGGGAAAGGCTGGTCAAATCGCTATCGTTCTGCGGAAGATTGAGTCCAGAGATTGAGAAGATTGAGAGGAGTGCCGCTAGCGATCCAGCTACAAGCAGAAAGAGTAGGTGAGTTGAGCGAAATCTCCATGTAAACTCTTCGGTTAAAAGCCACGATGAATTTAAGCATAATGAAGGGAAGATATAAGATAAATACATTTAAGATTTTAAGCAAATACATATATATATATATATTTAACAGCTTTATATTTTACAGATTCGATACAACATCTACCTCAGGTAACGATAGCGATGAAGAACTGATCAAACAACAGGTTGCGACTATAGCCAATCTTAGAAGGAGTATAGAAAAGACCCACATATCCTCGAAAGACCAAGACAGTGCCATTCCCGAACAAAATGAGAACGAACAAGTGACACCTAGCTTTAAAATCGGTCCAGAGGGAGGTATGGTTCGACCCAGGCTTACTAGAAGTATGGAAAGAGAGAGATCGTTCCTGGCTCTCAGTTTAGGTGACCCTAGCCAAATGTGGGACCTCTGCGTCGATAAAGATTCGGATAAAAGCGCGACGGCTGGTACGGAGGAACATAGTTCCTTTTCAGAACAAGCGTGGGATTTCTATCAGGTAAGAACTATACACTGTATATATATATTTTAATTTTTCATCAACTAAGTTACAGAGATCTTTACGATCATGAATATAACTCTTAATTTCGAATCCAAAGATCTCTGTAAGTTATTTTCGTTCATGAAGATAAAGCTTTTTATTAACTAATGGTACCCTCGCCTCTGCTTCAACTTTGAGATTTTTATCCTTGTTGTATAATTTGTATATTATTGGAAATGTTTACAATCGATTTCTCTTGCCAACAGGAAAAGTACAATTCAGAACCATATTCTGAAGCCCCGGATTCTGATGCCGCTCGCCGTCTACTAGAATTCGGTGACGACTACAGAGCGTTCTTAGACTCGCAATCAGATTGTTGTTCAAGTCTCTCAGCACAACCGGAGAATGAGCAAAGTCCCAGTGGGACGCGAAGGCGACGACCTCCGTCAGATATATCTAGGGAGAGAAGTCTCCCGAGACACAAACGACCCTCCAGAAATTCCCCAGTAGAAACTCCAGTCAGAAAACCCAAAAAATCGATGTCTAGCGCCGAACGCAAGAAGAACCTACTAGACAGCTTAGAACGATCCAGAAATAACACTAGTATTGAAAGTAATGACGGCACACGCAGGCGCAAACCCTCCGAAAGCGAGCGGAAGAACAACAAACGGTCCCCCGACTTCGACCTGCTGAACGGGCAATCGCTAAACCGAAGACGTCACAGCTCAAATCTGACCAGCGACGAGATTAACAGTTCTCTAGAGTACACGGAAGTCAACAACCGTCCAGATATCTTGGACTCGTTGAATAGAAGACGCAAAGAGAACGGGGAGGCTGAGTTGCAAAAAGTGGCTCTGTCGGAGCTGCGTCGCAGGTCAACTGAGAGCGGTGATTCAGACGAATCGTCTTCGCCGAAGCACAGCAGACGGAACTGGGGCGATTCGGACTCGGAGTCCGAGGAAGTGAGGTCGCTGGTGCGCCGGTCGAGCACCCAGTTGGAGGTTACCGAGGCGATACTGGCGCGCCAAGACTCCTCGCCGGACCTTCTCCGCGCTTTCGACTACGTAAGGGCATTCGATACAGATTATAGTAGCTATACAGATGCGGATGACGACTTCCGCTCTTGTGTGACGCGACCCGCTGCATGCTTCCGCTCTAGAATATGTCTAGCAGTAACCGCCTTCTCTATAATGATCATAGTTTACGTACATCTTCAATGACACCTGGCTTGGGCTTGTATTATATTTATACTGTTGTTTTTAAGTATACGGGTTAGGCGCGCTGCGATTGTCAGATTGCGAATTGAATATTTGGAGTTCGCACAAAATAATGGTTTTGTGGGGTAGTGCTCAAGCGGTCTAATGCTGTCTCGTTCTTTCTCATAGAAAAGAACACAGACAGAATGAGTCTTGAGGTATTGTGGGTTACTATTTTGATTACCTTGCTCAATAAAGGGATTTTCATTTGCATGTGTTCGTTCGTGATAATACAAGATTTAACTTTTTGATTGTAGCATTACTGAATAATATACTAATCAATTATGATTATTAATGTTACACTGTTCATAATGGTGTCTATAAAATATAAGGTTAATTGCATTCCCTTAGTCGATAGTATTTGAATAATTCCTTTTTTAGTGAAAGTAATACGTGGGTACAAATTATAAGCATTTTGGGTATAGGCGGCGTCTGACAAACGCAGATTTTATTTATACAGAAAGTAGGACAATTTTAGCTTAAACTATATGAAATGCCATACAATTTCACAACTTTATACGTCCACTTTGCTTTTTTTGATAAAATCTTTAAAAGCAAACATTCTGTATTCAGGCAGCTGAAAATAGTTAATTAATTATATTTATTTATTTTAAATGTCTGGTTCTAAGGTGAAATAGTTTTGCGTCTCGTTTAATTACTGCGAAACCATCTCACAATTTAAATATAATAATTTATTTACTTGTGTGCGCGTGTGTGTGTTTGATTTTTTGTTTCTTTATTTCTTTTGCGAACTCTTTACTTGGATTTAGACTGGTCATAGACTATACTAAAGAATGTCCATGAATGGTCCATTTTGTTTATGTCAAATAAATCCAAGTAAAGACTCGCCCTACTAACAGCATTTGTGATTGTGAATGTAGTTATACTAACTGCCTGTTAATTTCCTACTTTACTTCTCTAATTTTGGTGGTGATAACTCGGTGCTAGGTTCTAACTTTTAGATATATTCGAGTAATATATTCATAATTCGAAGTTAACTGGTGCAGCTTGTGGCATAGACGATAGAGCCAGGTGAAACCGACGCCTAACTAATCAAACTATTGAAAAGTCAAATTGACAGATGCCACATTTGACGTTTTCAAAGCAGTTTTGGCATTCAGCGATAGTACGCGATTCCGAATGTGATTTCTTGTCATAGCGTGATATTAAGATGTGTATTTATTTAGATATCGATTTAAATGTTGTATGATTTATAAAAACTATTACATTTAATAATAAGGTGTACTAAAAGCCTAACAATATGTGATTTGACTGAACTCCGCAACTCGGTTACTAACATTTTGTAATTGTAACAATATGTTGACTAGGGGTAGGTTGTTAATTGATGTTTTTAACAAAATGTCGAACGCACAGTGATCTTTGTATTAAACTTTTACGAGAATAAATGAGTCAGTTTGAAAGTAAAAATGGAGTTTCAGTCAATTAACACCCTTCTCTATCAGCACAAAATAGTATACAACTATTAATATAGGCTAGTTTTGAGTCTTCCAAATTTCTATCTGTTCTACATGTTTGGCCTTGCTTCTCTAATCTGTATTTTTAAGTTTTTGTTTGGCTTTTAAAATTGGCGGCATGTTTCGTTATTTTAAAATTCAGCATTGTGACCTTAAATTTAAAACATTTTGGGAGTATAGGACGCTTAGAGACAATCTTACCTAACTGAAGGTAATTTTAAATGTAACAGATGATATAAAATTGCCTTTAGTTAGGTCAAACGGTTAAAATGAAAAAAAAATGTGTTGTGGAGAAGTTGGAGGCGTTCAGAAAATGGGTTAGAAAAATGAGCTTTTTCTATACAGACGGAGGTCGTAACGCGCTGCCGAGAGAACCTCACCCTTTTGGAGGTGGCCTTGGCTGACAGCTCACTGTCGCCTGGTTTGCAACGGGACGTCAGAGGTTTGTCACCTTTTATACAGAAATTTTCACTTAATTTGAAATTGTATGACACAATATTTACGTTTATGAAAGCACGTTTTTGAATGAGATATCGAGCTTTAACTTCATGTCTATCTACATTTTATTTTATATCGTTATGCTGTATACATAAAATAATTTATATTGTATTATACATATATTTATTTATGTTTCAAGAACCCATATTTCAACATTCTATAAGCGAAACGTTATTACTTACATAAAAGTTATAAGAATTTGCAGATGTTTTTTACGGCTTTGTTAATTCGTGATTTTTGCGGCTACCGGATTAAGCGAGGACAAAACAAGTGAATTCACATTAGTGCCAGTGCAACAGTTTCGTATTAAGTTCCAGTATCTAGTTACCGAATATCGCAACCTCTGTGGTCGTGCGGTTTTCTTGTTTATGAACCAGTTCACAAGTATCACCTACAAATCGAATCGGCTAATCCATGTAATTCTTTAGATAAAAGATGCGAAATATATTGGTCCACGCTATAGTTTCGAACGTCATAAGTTATAGCTAAATTATCTCAAATATTTCTTTGTTTGAAATTAATATTAGACAAAATTATGATAAACCCTGTTCTCAGCCGTGATTACGTAGAAACAAGCTGTGTCAGCGACTTTGTCCGCGTAGAAAACTTATTTTGGGTATCCAAATTTGATTTCGCAAATCTCCATTTTAGCTGTTGTCCGCGACGTTCGTCGGGTCCCTTCGTTCTACCAAGTTAATCTTAAAGACAGACATATAGTGTCACATTAGTGGGATTTTTTTTTATCATTTAAAGAGGAATCATTCCTTTTTACATATTTTTTGGGTAGAAAGTTTTTTAGCTGTGTATTAAATAGTATAAACAAAAACTTTCGTTTAAGAAGCCTAAATTGAATTGAAAGTTGCCTGGAAAAATCCAGCTTGAATAATGTATAATGTATACAATCGCGAATAAAAGATTGTATGATAAATTTATTCAAGAGGTAATTTATTTCGAATCCGCAGACAGCCTTATTCGGATGTTGACCGGTTTCCGAACGAAGACCTCACTGCGAACTCGATCAAGGCAATGCGTTCATTTCTCGGTATTCTGGTCTTGTTCGCCTCGGTTCAGTTTTTACTCGAAGCTTTAATGACGATAATTATTGTGATTATCGTAATAGCTAATATTTAAGACGCGCATCGTGAGACGTACTTCTTTTTATTAGATCTTTTATAAACGTAACTGTTATAGTATAAGTAAAATCCCGGTTTTCCCTATGTGAAGCATGGGGCAGATTCATGAGTATGTTTCACTGGTCGTTGTTACATATTTACAGACAACTAGACAGACCTGTGTCCTTTTCGACCGAAACAATTTATTATGTTTTTCTAGGATTCGAAAAATTTGAAATACTTCGATTGATGATGATTTCATAATCGTTAACTTCTTTCGTTGCCTAATTTAGTATTGCGCAATAAACATTTCACACGATGCAATCAAATGCAGTTGTTAAATTGATCAAGTTCAGAAACAACGAGGATACATTCCTCTGTCTAAACTTAGATCAATTTTTAAAACGTATTTTGTATATTTTTGATATTCTGAAAATGATTTTCAGAAAGTAAGAACAGTATTTTATTGTTTTTTATGTTCGTAAGTTTATTTTTATTTTTAATTTATATACCATTTTAAACACTATATACTTCAGTAGTGTGTCTTGCTGGTTGATGTTCTTTTCTTAACTGAAATTATTCATAACTCGTTGCTGAGATAAAAGGCATTATGCAACATGTCAGCTTCGCTAATTAGCAAGGACACGTTTGTTACCATCTTCGCTTTCGTAATAGCGTTCCGCTTTCGTTGGCAGAAATAGATGAAATGGGCGCGTGATCGTCCCCCGTATCGCCGTTTCCGGGATACAAACGAGCGTGGATATATCAATTTTAGTCTGTCCTACTTAGGTGACCACCCTCTTGCTAGATTTATTCTGACAACGGGCAACTTTCGAACTTTGAAGTTTATACGGTCCTAGTCAACTTGTATTTTCTATTTTAAACAAGAAATTATCATTTTATTATGATTTATAAATCAGACAGAATTGGCGTCTCCATTATAAATATGTTATTAAGGTATCTAACAAACAAACAAATAAATAATATAGAGATTAACTAAACTATCTATACAGACAGTGTACTCCTTATGTATGAACGGCGCAGGCGCTAGTCATTAATTCTAGTTTGAATTTTTGTAGTTTGAATCATATTATTAATATTATATAAAATATTATACTTAAGTTTCTTTAGTTTATATATCTGTTCGCTGTCCACAACTATATGATATATTTCCGATTCAATATTTCTTTACGTTTAAACGTATATTCCTTCCGTCAAAATTACATAAGTATTATGAAAATAACCTCAATGCACTTTTCACCATGACTTGATTTGAATGCAGGCGCCGTTAAAAGTCTTAAATGAATTAAGCAAAGTGCTTTTAAAATGTTTTGACTCTCGAGTAAATGCTTAAGAGCTTAGATAAGTACACGGCACGTAAATAGCATTCTAAATATACGGTCGGATTATAAACGGTTGAAGCATGTGTCGCTTGAGCTTTCCTTTTTTTAGTCTACTGGCCGACCTAAACTTGGTTTGTCATCGTGAGATTCGAGTCTAGTCTGTTCGGGAGATTAAGGATTAAATTAAAAGTATACCTAATATTCAATATATTGTATAAATGCATGATAGCAATTAACATCACATTTATTTGGTTGGCGCTGAAAATTCGAATACAAAAATGAAAGTTAGATTACGCCGCTAACACATCTGTCTAAGTACCTGTTTCACTGGATTAATTCTAGATAGGCAAACGATATTGATACGATATTGATTAAGTACTTCGTATTAAAAATAGCAAACATACACTTCTATTTTAGAATTTCGTTTGGTGAGATTGAAAGTATCTTTCTTTTTTCTACCCTTTTAGTAAATTCAATTCAACTACGACCGGACGTTTCTGATCTTAAAAATATTCCTTGTAACTGTATGACAAGCACCTTATCCTTTTAAATATTGTCCTTAACTTATTACAATAAAATTGGCTATCAATTAACTTATCGAACCGTACGTGTCTCAATGTTTTCAAATGTATCAATTTAACAATAGCCAATAATTCTTCCACAAACAGAATCACATCGGGCCATGACATCAGCTCTAAAACGTAAAATAAACATTCGATTCTAACGATGCACTAATACAATTACAGCAGTTTTATCTCGATTTGAGAACGGCCGTGTCGTAAAAATGGTGTATCGAAAAATCGTGGTAGTGGTAAAAGAGGTACAGGGAAGGCGTAAATGTGAGTTCTCTTTGTTACTAAAAAAACAATTCAAAGAAGGTATATTTTTTAATTTCGAGCCATTCTTATGGCCCCTTTGTGTCCTACCCTCAAACATTTTAATGTCAATTTGAGAACTTACTCGTAACAAGTAACTTCGTAGAGTATCCTATTAATAACATTGTTATCGGTTTTTTTATTTATTGTTATCAATTGACATATTATGTATTTGTAATTCTGTTCTTGTATTGTGGTTTTAAACTTCGCATTTAATATTCGTTTCTATTAGTATTTAATATATTTTGTTGGAATTTTTAAAAACTATCGCACAAGAACAGTGAAGAAAATGTTATTACATTAAAATGCCTTATAAATTCTTAAATTGCATAAACCAATATTTGCAATCCACTCGCACCAAGACATTTGCGGCACAAGGTCACAAGAATTCCAAATAGTACCAATATTAGATAGCATTGAGTATTTATTCCTATCACTAAATTTCCATTAAGATGTTCTAGTTCATTATGTTAGTTCGTATGCAGTATTTTTAAATCCTGTAGTTAAAAAGAAATATAATTAATTATTACGTAGCTGACTGCGTAGAAACTACTTATATTATTTTTTGAATATTATTTTTACGTAAAACGTACTGTCTTACTTCTTATTAAAATAATTTCTATTCTTCTATAATTGTCATCATCTTTGTATAATATTAGTGTTTATCAATAACAGTGACGTAACGTTACTATGCGGTACTATGTAATTATATTTGTTATCAAAAGATATTAGATACAATTTCAAAACACTGATAATACTTATGTAAGGTATTCAATCAAAACGATAAAGCAGTATTGTCCTGTCAGGAGAACGATTAGATCGCTTTAAGTAAAGTACTGGCCCACTATTCAAACCTCGAAATGTTGTCTATCGTTTTGTAGTATTGTTGCATAGTCGTCACAGCTATGACAGAATTATCTCGTTTTTCAAGACTAAAGTGTACAAATCACTTGTTAAATTTCAATTCATTTCGTCTACGTACGTAACTTGATGTTTTGAGTTTACGCGGGTAGATCACAAATAAAACGCTGTTTACAAACGTGTATATTTATAATAAAAGTCGCGATATTTCTTTGCAATCTACATGTATATATTTCGCATTTAAACCCGTTAAAAATGTAAAGTTCGTCTACGAGTTGCAATTGATATATTATGTCGTAGCGCTCATGCTCAGCTCGGCTGGTCTCAAAATGTTGCCTATAGCCTCAGATCAGCTGTGAATGTCGCGAGCGGCTAACGTGCGCTGCTTTAAAATCGCGAGTGATTGTGTATGTGACTAGTAGTTGGATAAGAATTTTACTTAAATAATCTATTCGTAGAAACGTACAAGAGAAACTGGATGCGCATGAGTGCTTGTGCTTTCGCTAGTCTCTGTTGCAATGCAATTTTGCCGAGTTGAAAATTCCGTGTGAAACACGTTAATTTATTTACGTTAACCTTTACAATTTGACGGTGCACACGCAACTATTCTATTCAATGTTTTTTTATCTATTTATGTACTGTCGTAAATTTAAAAATTATTAACTAGACAAAGTTAGAATTATTTATTAAATTCTGGTGAAATTTCTTTTAAATTTAAAAGTAGAACATTTTAAAACAAATCTGTAAATTGTTTACATAAAATATAATATATTTATAAACCGTGTGATTCGGTAACTTTTGCTAAATGTGTATCTCCAATAAGTTGCCATTAGCCTTCAATAAGTAATTGTCATAAATCATATATCATTGTTGGTAAACAAAACTCCACCCAGTCACATTGCCCATATATTACAAACACAACCAATGATAAGACTTTGCTCACACTATGATTGAAATAGATTTCCGAGATTCAGAATTATTGAAGTAAAACCAATTTCATAAAATCCGGGTCGTAAAGAAAGAGTTGTGTAACAAGTTTCTCTTTGTGGACTTCTGGTTATTGGTATGACATCATCTAGTCCAGTTGTTTTTTATCATTTTGCCTTTATGTGTTGGCTTATTTTGGTGTTATCTCTAAAGCGATAAGTGATGGTGCATTTTTTTAATGTTACAACAATACGTTTATGATAATAATGAAATGATTAGCAATGCTAAGATTTTAAAATTTATCATATTGTTCATAATTCAAGTACTAAGAGGAAACAACAAAACAGTCCGAACATAAATTACTGTCTGTAGTTTACGCGAGTAGTACACATTTAAATAAAACACTAACGATTTAAAACGCGAAATACATTAGTTTGAATGCTTCCGTTGAAATATTTTATTGAAACATAATATGTACCTATAACAATAAAATAGTACGCACTCAACTATAACAAACCAGTACAAAATTTAGAGATACACGCAAAAATCTGCTATAAACTATCTTAAAATTGCACAAAAACAATTTAGCATCGTAACATAAAGTCTTTTCTCAAAAGATCGATGGATACTGTCTAGAGTATACGCGAGTAGTACACATTTAAATAAAACACTTTAACGGTTTAAAACGCGATACATTAGTTAAACTTATTTGGAAATGATTTTTAACTTCTGCCCGACGTTTCGGCTGCCGCAAAGCTTAACTAATATATCGCGTTTTAAACCGTAAAAAGTGTTTTATTTAAAAGATCGATGGATGTTGCTATTTTTTAGACTTCATGTCAATAGAACCACCTCTTGAAAGCATAGCAATGCTACTTTTTTGTACGATAATTATGAGTTCATAACCAAGCCTGTCTATGACTAAAAACCTACACACCCCTTTTAAGGCGAATGGTGATTCAAATGATGGTATAGTCCTTAGTTCGCTCTTAAGGTTATAATTATCTCTGTTTTTAAACTACCTCATTGTAGCTGTTTATCCTTCAAAACTAATTAACTCCACGGAAAACAGTTGTTAAACACAAATTAAGTTAAAACGCTTGTATGTCACGAAAAACGTGAATCTCGGATCGTTCGATAATTGAAAGTACACGATTCACGAACAAGTTGCTAATGAGAGAGCTATGATAGATTTGTATTTCGTAGGTGCTTAGATGTAGAGGCAAAAGTATTAATCAATTTGTGGGGAAATTTAAAGCGACCAAGCCTCACTTGGGGGCGAGGTACCCTTTGGATAAAAGAAGCAATAAGATTGTGTGTAAGGCGATAGCTTGACAGAACAACGTAGTAACGCGTTACGTTACGGCATTTTGATCCTGGCATAATCCTTTTGTTGAATAAATGTTTAAACCAAAGTTAGCACATAGCCATTTTATTTACAATAAGATATTTAATGCATTGATTTTAAGAGTTCAAAAATAACCTGTTTAAGTTTGAATGTTCCGTTAACTGTGCTTCTTTGCTGAAATTCATAATCGATCTTCCAGCTCGTGAAATACGAAACATTTTCGCGCGTAGCAATAATCCCGAATCTGGTTTTGTCAAGTTAAGTTAATTTCAAGTAAATTGAACCGCAAGGAAGTTCGTACTTTAATTTGTTCGCACAATTTAAACACATTTAAATTACCTATGCTAAAATATACAGTGTTTTAACTAATATGTTTATCTTTGTAATTATCACTGTCATTATAAACGGAATTAACTGTTTTTGTGTACATTTTTAAGGGTACTAATAAATTTAAACTGAAAAATATTACGACTCGGGCAGGACTTGAACCGGCATTCAAATCGTTCCGTGCTGTTGATCTAACCAATTAAGCTACTTACCAAATTACTTACCAAAGTTTGAAATGATATTGATATTTATCTTAAAAAATCTTTCTTATATGATATACTATGAATGGAATCGCATTGAACTGTCGTTTAGTACTTAGACATCCCATTGTGTCGATTCAAGACGACTCGCATAGATCTTGCACAACAAACATACAAAGAAGGTCGTTGCACTGTCTATTTGAAAGCGAAGTTACATACATCTCCATAACATATACGCTATAATTAGTCAAATCCGTTGCAATCTAGACATATTAGCATAATCACATAGGCAAAGGAAAGCTACGTTTCTATACACATTCGTATAATATCCAATATTGGTTTACGCTGGAAAATCTTACACATTAACCATATATGTACATAATAAATTATTTGACATTGGTTTTTAAACTAGGTACTACTGTCCTAAAAAAACATTTAGATCATCATTATGAAATCAAAATAACCCACAATACGCGATATATATAAACGGTATATAATAAAATAGTATTCTTTAGAGAGACAGATAGTGTAGTAATACACATTTAATAAAACAATTTAAATGATTCAAAATGTGCCAAATTTTAGTTAATTTGAAAAGCACCTCATGGTCATGGGGGTCCCCCACGAGAACGGCTGCTGAAAAGCATCCGTAACGTCGGGTCGGTAAATTGTAAATAAGTTAAATAATTACGCGTTTTATACCGTTAAAAGTGTTCAATTTACAGAGACACTTATTAGGCGCTCCCGATATATTTTACATCTACCCCCTTAAATTAAAACTTAAAGAAGACGAAGCTATAGTCATTGAAGTCTAAACAGTCACATTAGTCTTAAGACGTAAAAGACTATTGACATTTACTATTTGGTCAATCTGCTATTCCCTATCAATGTGGCCCCAGTAGGGCACTGTTCCATCAATCAGGCACCGTGCTTTATATTTCGTAGTGACGTGCCCAAGATTAATTCGATTATTGATTGCAGTTGTCTGCCAGTAACGGTTAGTCGACCGGCTATTCTAGTTCATCCCGTTTACCGTTATCATTGACGCTTTTTATTTCACATAGCGAGCTTTTCACACTGCGATTTTCTTTGTCCACAAAATCTGGAGAACTTTCTCTTTAAATAACCGAATAGACAATATTTAACGATAATAACGATATCGTTACAATTCAAATATTTCCCGGTGAAACCGAAGACAACTTCAACATCGTTTTTAGATGTATAGGCTTGGGCCGTGTATATATTTTAACAATAATTGAATTCTATAGCTGTCTGTCCCTTCTAAAAAAACGCAAAAGTAA